TCTTTATGGCAAACACCACATCCGTACAAATCAGTAAAAATTTTATGCAATCTATTTCATTCTCTATAAAATTTTTAAAATTATTTGTCATACGTACATATTTTATAAAAGAATAATTTTTGCTAGCTTGAATAATAAGATAATTTAATTATTTATTTAGTAAGAAATGAAGTTCTGTTGGAAATAAATATGTTTGAAGAAATCCGTCAGTCGTTTCGCAATATGCTATAAAAATTACTTAACATAATTGGTTCATTTATCTTGAAAAACGCATAAAAGAAATTGCGATACGTAAATCATTTTTCCTATAATGTTTACATTAAATTATACATTAATTACGAGAAGTATTACGATGACTTTGCGAGATTACAGGCCTCGATTACTAGTACTGTTAATCGACTTGCAAATTTAATTCGTGTGCCATAGATTGCGGCTTGTCGCGTACTTATAAACCATGTCCAATGATTATATCTTTAGTGAAGCCGTCAATCGCGCAGCGTTTAGAGAGTAAATAATTTCTAATAACACGGAATGTTATTTTTATTAATTATTTCCAGTAGTAGGGATTTTTACTTAATGCGTTTTAATTGTAAATTAGAAAATTTATCAAGTATTATTTTTAATAACGTTCTTATTTCATATATAGATAATTATTTTACGTTTTTCATGAAATTATACATCAAAAAAACAGACATTATTGGTTCTTGAAAATTTCGCTTTTTAGCTAACGTAATGAAATAACAAAATAATATGACTTTATCCTGGCGAAAAAAGAGATTTGTATTAAGGAGTACTAACAAGTCTAACAATAAGAAGTACGAAGAAAGAGATTCTCATAAATGTGTCTTAACATTCGAAGGATTAAAACGGGTAGTTTCAGGCGTATACCCGACGATAAAAGTTTCGTAATTTTATGCAATTATACTGCAATCACTAATTTGAACGGAGAATTTGCGAGCATGGGGAGGGGTTGTAACGTAACGTTTCCAGAACGATGAAATTTTAAACGCGAGGGTGGATCGTTTGTGTAATGGGATAACGGGAATCGATGGGTGGATATAAAGACGTAGCTTACCCCGCGGGGGAACATCAACCCTCGCTCGTGAAAGCCAATCGAGCACGAACAACCACCCTAATCGCGGAGCGCCATTGGCTCGGAGTTACCCCAATTCTATTACACCTTCTGTCATGGCCATTTATAGCGTTTAATCGACCAGACCGGATCATAATATGGCGGCGATAAACCCCCCGGTTGGGCCATGCACATGCCATCTCATCCCCCTGAAATGTTTTTATCGTTAAATGGAAAAGTCAACATTTGAGGTTTCGGGGTAAACGCGAACGCTCGAACATCCTAAATATCTTAAATCACATTTGATACTTTAATTATTAGTCATTAAAAAAAAAAAAGAAACTTTAGGAAAAAACAAAATAATGAAAAAAATTAATTAATGATATTCTAAATCAAATAATAAATTTGATCAAAATATTACTACGTTTTGATGGTAATTTTGTTGAACTTTATAATATTCAGCGATTATGGAAAACTTTAATAAACTATATACATAGCCTCCTTATCGTTAAAATAACTGTGTAGCACTAACGTGGTAATAAATATATTATAATATTTGAGAATATAAAAATTTATAAAATGTTAAAAAATAATATTATCGGATAATTCGAACTTTTAGCTTAAAATAAATAGTCTTTTATCAAGTATGACAGTAATTACTACAGTAAAGGTATATAGCTTTAAAACATTTTTGCTCGCTGTACCGCGGTTGTTAAGTCAACTACTTGAGCTCGCTTATCTATGCGTCTGCACAGTGGGTAATTATTTATACCCACTTTTAAATATTTACCTACAAAGTATGCAAGAGTACACTAATAATACCCGTGCAGCATTAATGTGGCGATAATTATACACTTCTGTCCTCCTTCCGAACGTCGATGACAAAGTACACTGGAAAAATTTACAATTGTACGCGAAAATTACTTTGAGTACCAATAATCGTGTGGGAAGATGTCCCATCTTCGCGTGTGGATTAATCCATTATATTTGTCTTTAATATAAAATTGTACCTAGGCGCTTAACAAGTTTTGACTGATAACGTTAACAGTTTCTTTTCTAATAATAATTTTCTCTAAATAGCTGCCACTTGTCTATTTTCAGTTCTTTCCGCCAAGCGGAATTCGTTAACTCGATGATGCACCGCGATTACATTAAATTAGCAATTCTTATTTTGTACGCGCTTATCTGTATATGCTACATAATTCGTTTTACGTGTCTCGTAAACTTGATCGGGTTCCCATGATCGGTCTATGAGTCGGACAATGTACACAGATACATGTTGAAGATTAAAGAGTCGCAATGTGGGTATAACGTAAGCCAAGCAAGACCGAATGCAAAATGGGACGCATCCCAGCCTTCTCAGATATAACTAAAGAGTGTTGTATAATTACACAAACACACGGTGCACACACACATTACGTTCGATAACGATGACGTACAAACCAATATATATATTCTGATTTGTTATTAACTAAAAAACCTAAAGCCCTTTTGCGCTATATGTCTAATTTTTCGGCTGCCCTGACTAATTGATTGTAAGCCGTGTGATACTCGTCGCCCCACCCTCTCTGGTAATTAATATCGCGCGTTCTGAAGTATATGTATATTGCGTTGCGCGTGTACATAATTTGTTAATCAATGATCTATCTTGTTAATTACCCGATAACAAGCCGATAGTTCATCGAGTCGCGGGGAGAATGAGATTCCGTTATCGCACAGCTCGTTTCGCTTTATCGGCCAACAACTAAATGGTAATTCACTATTTATTCGTCGCAAGAAAGTCGAGTAATGCGCGTTATCGTTAGCCGCGCAGGTATTTTGCATATCGGCCAACTAGAAACTCGGCCGCGCTGCGCTGCAGTGTGCGCGGCAGCGGTTTTTTTTTCCGTTATTCCACGCTCATATCACTTCTTCCGCAACCGTGTTCTAACTGTGCGGATGCTGCGACCGGGTCAAAATGTCGAAAACATGTCAATTTGTTGGGGTATATCTTCATATTCGCGAAAAAGGCTATAATCGTTTGCTCGCAAGTATCAGTAACGTTCGACAAACAAATATCTTGAATCACTTCAATCAACTATTCGAGAATTAAATATATTTAATTACTAAATATTAAAATATTTAATTACATCTTTGCAATTCTAACTTTTTAAAGTAATTGCTATAGCTGGATACAGCTGGCTCCGAAATTATATATGCTTTAATAAATGTAACATTTCGAATTTTTTATTTAATAATGTGAAGAAATTAGAAGTGAGACTAAAGCAAACGAGCGATGAGAATACGAATTATCCTTTTCAAAAATTTTCCGCGATTTAGGAATGACTTCTGGGAGGGAGGGGCTTACGAGAGTGATGTAATAATTCGCTCCAGATCTCTAATTGGGGATCGTTTCAATCACGTATTTATCTACACCGTCGATACGTGTCGGCAATAACGACAGCGATACAGTTTTTGCTAGATCCATGGGCGGACTAATTTCGAGTTAATCGTCGTCTTATCGCGATCTACCGACTATAAATGCGCCTTAATTAACTCCGCCGCTCTTATAAGGGCGGCCGGTTTTTGCTGAATCTCTCGCACAAAAGGCACTCGTGGGGAAAAAGTAAACCCTGGGACTGCGGTTTCTCAAGCCCCCGGAATGTCGTGCGGCTTTGATCGAGGAGGTAACTGATCGTCTTGCGAAAACCCGATGTCACGATCGATCTTTTGTTCCCCCCCCCCCCCCCAACCGATATTTCTTTCCGTGGAATTTAATGAAAACATTCGCACGTTTCCTCGAAACTAATCTCCAGGGTGTTATTATACGCGAAAATTTTTACGAACCGCTTCAGGAATTATAATGTTTTACGAGTCGCGAGCTGATCGACAAGGACTTCCAATCTATATATCATGTATTACATACATTTTTGTGTATCTGATATTGCACTATGTCCATTAAAAATATGCCGCGTTCAGACCTCTATCGGAATTGATAATTTTCCGATATTTATGGCCGCAAGAATTAGACCTCGTTTCTTTTCTTAGAACCGCATGCGAAACGTGTCGCGAATTCTTTCCCGGTCGCAAACTTCACACTCGATTTGTGTGTAAACACATACGAGACTATATCACTCAAATTATTCCCATATATCGCCGTAATTAAGGATTCCGTAGCACCGTATAATCAACGCGCAGAATGGATTTTTTATACGACGGCAAATTACATAGATCTACTAATAATTACACTTCCAACTTAATCAACTCAATAATTAACTTGTCTACCAGATAGCCTTAGAATATGATATACCTGTCACCTATCATAAACATAGTCGCTTATTTTTATTTATGAAGCAACAAAGTTCTTTTTATCTATCGTTATATGTTTACCAATATTTTTGTATATTAGTCACTTTCGTGTAACATTTTCGAAAATTACTGCCATCCATCATTATACGTATTTTTGATAATATAATTGTCTGGAGTTGTGTTGTTATGAGGATTATTATGAGATAGTATTTTGTTCATTTTCTTTCTCGCTTCTCGAATAAATTATACGTGAAAAATTAAAGGAAAAATTAAAAGATTTTAAAAAATATTAAAATAAAATTAAATAAGAGATTTAAACCAATATAATCAAGAACAGCTTTTAATACTTAGCAGATGTCAAGCGTTCACAAAAATACATGTATCTAAATTTTAATTTTAGACACGTGTGGAAGAATGAATTTCAATTTTAGACTCCGTGGGAATATAAATTTTAATTTTAGACAATATTAGTGGTGGTTTCTATAAACTTCATAATAGAAATGTATTGCGTAAACTCTATATTTATTTATTCGAGATAAGTATAAAAAGTATCTCGACAGCTTTAAAACGCGAATTTGCCGATATCGCAATTGTTTTAATCGGCGCACGAATGACGAAAGTGGACTGTCTAAAGACTCACTTGGCGAACGCTCGTCGTCCTGCGCGGGGAGCTCCGTTTCCTCGACGTCGACGAGGCTGCGGATGCTGAAGACGCTCTTCGCCACTCTGGTCTTCTGCAGATCACCGACGCCTTCCGCGGCCCTTCTGGGCGTCGTGCTGAGATCCATCGTCGATACTTCGCACTATTTTCGTAGGCGGGAAGGAATCGGCATCTCACGTCCTCTCACCGTACGCACCGAGATCGTGTCGTCTCCGTCGTCGGCGTTGTCGCTCGCATCTTCGGCCTCGTGACCTCATTAACGAATAACGCGCGAATGTCGTCCGCGAGAAAAGCCAGTTTCCTAGTCTCCTTAACTTGGCCGATCGTCGATGCGCCGAGATCGACTCTTGCTACTCTAATTTACAGCTCCAATTGGACGGACTTGATAACAAAACACTTTAACACGTCGTTCTCCACTTATCTATTTTCTTGCAAAACGTTGCAGCAGCGTCTTTTCTTGTTTTCCTCTCCTGTTTCTAATATCAACGAGAACTTTACGACAAACTCGATCTCGATCGCCGTCAACTTGCTCTGTCAACTTTGACGACTCCGTTCGAATTCAATTTTACGGAGCTCGACTTTAAAAAAGAGCTACTTCGTTCACCTGCCGCTTATCTTTTTTATTCGGATTGTAGCACACGCAGATATGTTGCACCTAAGATAGCAGACCGCGTCGTCAGTTCGCTGCAATATATTTCCGAGAATTCGACGATAATTCAGTTTTTAAACTGAACAGTTTTTCCGCGTATAGCAGATGCAATGATCATATATCACACGTTATCGATTGCACTTTTTTTTCTTCCTGGTCCCGGAAATCGATTATCTCGAGTGTCTGACGATCGCGTCTTGTAACGTCGCGCTACCACCTGGCAGATCGTCTCCTCGCGATCCAGGAAATCTCTCCCTCGCGAGCCGATCGTCCCACCATTGGGCGGAATCGATGATCGGTTCGCACTTCCGCTTCCGGGCGAGGAATGATCGTTCTCTCCGTGCGAGAATGCCTCCGGATGGATCATCGAGTTACGTGTTATCTCGATTCCGTTGACCGGAAGCGCATTATCGCGTTAATCGTTATCAGCGCGGTGCCGATCGTGGCCTGGCGTCGCTTCGCGCAAGAGCTTACTCCTGCCGGGCCCTGTAAACACGCTCACACGCACACGCGCACGCGTACGCGTCTGGAAAGGATCGATGAACTCTTTCACGGTTCACGTTGTCCAACTCTCGGCCGTCCTTGTGTTTACAAATCGCGGCGCCTGATTCGATCTTCCTTCCGTTTTCGCGCAGACCACGACCAGTTTTTTTTTTTTTTTCCTTTTTCTTTAAGGACCGGTCAGTTTGGGGCGGGAGGGGATTCGCCTTAAATCGAACAAAATAGCCCCTCACGCGATCACTTCCGATTTTCGATCAGCTGACGCTCGACACGTGACGACGGAGGACAATAGGACGTCGAAGACCGTGTGAAGTGACAGTTTCATCAATCTGAGACTTTTTTTACAGAAACACATCAAAATCGCTAGACGCAAAACCTCGGCATTCAAGGATTGCGATTGCAGTTATGAGATTATTTAAACACTACAAATGGGTGGAGCGTGTTTTATTTACAAATTGCTGATGCCGCAAACTCGATTTGCTACAACGTCCGTGGTCAGTCTCTAATGGTCGATTTGAACACATTTATCGAACTCTTCGAGATTGAATAAATATTATTTTTCCCATGCAATATTTATAACTCAAGGAGTGATATCATTGCACATTAATCCACGTATACTCAACAAGTAACAACGTCTTTTCCGAAATAATATAGAATCCCGTAGTGACTGTTCCAGTTCGCGCAGACGTTATATCCACGTAAAACACACTGATTCTTCCTCAAACTAACTATTATCGCCACAATGTCCACGCTCGTTTAATTTCTCAAAGTAGCGTCAACATAGGAGATCATAACACCTCTTGTCACCCAAAACATTTCCTCTAATCACGGTGGTACACGGCTCGCAGGTATCGCATATACACGCAGGTGTCGTATCCAATTAAGAGTACGTTCCATATCGAACCGATTGCTCGCGTAGCAATTTGCATCACGCACACTTTTCTAACTTCGCGATCGGCGTGCCCTCGGGCATGTCGCGCGTAACGAGCGCGGCGACTGTCACCGGACGTTCATCGGTCTCTCACCCGCGCGGTGGGACAGCAGCCGGCTCGAGAGCGGGCTTGACAGCTCCGGTCATGACGGTACGGAACCGTTCGAGAGAGGCGAGAACGCGAAGCCGTAGGCGCGCGACGCGGCACACACGCGTATCGCGAACTCCTGGCCGGCAATGTGCGCCGCCGCGTTCCCTCCACCTCGAGGAGGTCGATCGCTCGCGCTGCCCCAAGGTGATACCAGGTGGTAGAGGGGAAGGTGTGGAAAACCCGCGGACCGCCTTCGTGGTATAAAATGGAGTTGGGCACGGGTCGAGGGCCCGCCCATCGGGCTCCACCCACAGCAGCTCGGCGACGAGAAGGGTTGACGGACCGAACTCTCTTCTCTTCCGGAGGCTGTTCCCGCTGACGAGAAGAGATAAGTCGACGCTTCGCGTGCGCGCGGACGTCTCGACGCGTGCGTCTTGGTTTTCGATGTTCCTGGTGCGAAAAGTAATTATCGATTTTATCGGGTCTTTCGAGGATTTATCGCGGGGATTCTGGAGGCTTAAATTTATATGTGGATAAAGGCGGTTTGATAACGTTGTGATAGTGATTTACGGACGTACAGATTGACATCGGATCTCTAAGATTTTTTTATCATGAGAAAAGAACGCAGATTTATTATTCAAATTTATTTTATGTCTACAAATGTGCGAGAACTTAAGAAAACTTAATCGTTGCGAAATCCCTTTGAATAATTACGCACAGTATGAAGGTGAATATAAATTGCAAATTTTTGAAAAGATGAGTTTTGTTATTTTTCTTGCGCTAAATGTCAAAATCGGTTAACATCATATAATCCTGCTTAACAAAACGCAAATGTTTAATTCTTTTTTTCTTTTTTAAGACTGAAGTCTCGTTTTGAAGGCAAATTAGGTAACAATTATACATCAAATTAAAAACTGAAGCAATTAAAGTAATTAAACATTAGCTCATTTTACTTTAATTACTTTTTAACTATAATATCCTTGTTACATATATTACGATAATATTTTAATATTTAAATAGTTTTTATACGACATTTTTACACTACTTTGATTCTAACACTCTTGTTATTTCATTAAACTTCTCATTACTTATTATTATATTTATTTATTACATATTTCTCTTTTTCTTTCTGAAGATTAAATATAAATCAGAAAATTCTGTGCTTGAAAAATAAAAAAGAAAAAAAAAAAGATTTGAGAATCGGCTTTTAGGAATTGGAAAAGATGAAGGATATTTGTACAAGTAAACAAGTTCGATAAGTAATTCTCTTCGGTTTATTTCATATGTAGTATTGATTTTTAATACAATACGTAGTGCGTTTAATAATTCGCCATAGTAACCAGCCATTAGAAGCACCTCGAACGGCGGGAGATTGCGAAGTGACAGATTTTTGATTATGACACTAAACGTTTTTTTTTTACGCAGGATAAGAAAATATCCTAACCCATAGTGCATGAGTTCAATCCTTTTAAACCTATTATTTACAAAAGGTCATTGCAATTAAATATAAATTTGATTTTTCGTGCATTGCTCAATTGACGTAAAAATAATACTTAGTCTATATATTAATAGAGGAGATAGCTCCGACTTTTCGTTATATTTATATATGGATAAATTATTTTTCAACCTTGCGTAATATATGTAAGAGCGATTTACGCAGATCGTAATGACAGGTTGAAAATCGCAAAGAAACGAAGGTAAAAGATAATAAAAATGCAAATCGGAAAGAGATCACATTCGATGCGGGCCCGCTAATAATACTGCCCTTTGAGGCGCTTCGCATCGCTGAATTTTATTAACGGCAGACTCTGCCCTGCACAATCCGACGAACACAATTAATCTGGGTGAGTAATACAATTCCGCAGTGACACGTCGCTTTACAGACATCCCTACATGACTACGATCAACGCAAAAGAATCTCGAACGAATCGAAATAGGGAGGAAGGACGATGCGCGCGTCCACTGTGTGTATCACGAATGCGCGAATGCTAACATCTAACGAGGTTCGAGGACGAGCTGTATTATATCTTGTAAGGAAGTCATAATTTTGTACTTCTAATCACGCAAAATTGGACTCGTAATTCCTTCACGATATCTATATAATAACGTTCTCCCGACGCAGGAAGAAATCAAAGAAACAAAGTAAATATATATTTTCACACGAATAATAATTACGTAAAAGTGATCAACCCCGTTTTTGGTATGTTTTAGTATGTATTTGGATGTAAATTCTAAACGAATATTCTAATGAGAAGCAATCTGTCTCTGTTTTATTAGAAATTTGTACGTAAAAACTCGGAGACTCTTGTACATTTGCCCATAAAAACAAGATATAGAATTGATGATCTGTGCAAAGAATAGCGCAGATTATATTATCTGGAATACAGACTAACAAATTAAATTCATATTTTATTCTTGCGGAATATTACACAGTTCGGATTGTGGTAACCAACGTAAACTAAAAACTAAAACGAGAACCCGTCGTGAGCCAACATCGTCGTGTTATCGCAACTTTGTCACTTTTTGCAAAGCGATCTCGATCGTGTGAGTGCAAATCGCAGCGAAACCGAAGACATGTCTTCCTCGCACGTCATTGCCTGTTACCATGAGCAACGACAAAATACCGCTGTCAGATAAGTACGCAAAAGAAAGAGTAATAATTAGAGATATCAGTGGAACTGCATGGACTGGTAATAAGATGATTAACCGAGTTCGCAATTGAACTCACCATAGCCTTAACGCAAAATAGGCGTGCAGCCTCGGGAGCAGCGAGAGACGAAGAAGACAAGCAAGTGAATCTCGGACTATCGCAGCGAAAACAGATCAGTACTGGTTATCACCAACACTTTGATGACAAAACGCGAAAATGCTCGCAATCGTACGTTCGCTGTGATCACGCGCAGAAAAACTTGTAAGGTCGTCGTCTATTGGAGTCGCCGACCATGCAGAAATCTCATCTCCGGGAAACTAAAAACTAAAATGAGAATCTCCCTCTCGTGTACGGACTTTGTCAAAAACTGTACATCGCTTTAATAAAACGCTTTGACTAAGACATTAAGATGCAAATGTAAAAGAGAAATGTAAAGAAAGCGTTCTTCGTTACAATGCTAATTTATGTTAATTCCTGCTTTAATCTCGGCGAAGATTATTCAAATGAAATTCGTCCTCGAACGTGAGTGTGAGAAAAGATATATCTTTGGCACAATAAATATGAACGTGACAGTTATCCGCGTGTACGGCCAATGCCATGCGGTTGTCGCACCGGCCTCTCAATTCTCTCTTTATTCTTCTCCCTTGATCCACGGCACTTGATATCTTTCGCGTTCCTTCACGCTGATACGAGATGATCACGTCGACCGAAATTAAAGCTTTAGCTAAAGCTTTTTAAGATGAACATCGTAACATAGAGCAATTATAATTAATGATAGTAGACTTAGCACCTAATGGGGTTATTCGCAATTAACGGTTTCGGGTTCTTAATTACTCGGGAATTTAGATAACACAAAGTAAAGTACAGAAATCCTTCCTGCTTGACCTAGGAATACTAGAAAAATCGTCTCGCCGACTTCGAAGAAATTGTCGGAAGATTTCTCAACAATTCAGGATGGCGTCGCACCGACGTTTGCTAAACGAGATCTAGGAGAGACGGAATAAGGTATATTAAAAGACAAAGATATCCTTAATCGGAATTGCTCTAACGTCATTAATATTTACGATCCTCAACTAATGGTTATTTATATTGCAACCCAATTTAGAATACATCAAGGAAATCGCTGTGATGAATAACTGCTAATAGAAAGCTCTCCCTCGATGTGATTCACCCTGAAATTGAAATCACCAGACGCTTACGTATACCAGCTTGAACACCTAGGCCTTACTCGTGCCTTTTAACAACCGTACTTGACGCGACATCGGTAACCAGTCGCGGTTCACCCTCGACATCGGCAATTATTAACGCTGCCTACATCGCGTTAGCGATTGTTAGCAATCGCCGATTGCTAATTTGAAAGTTCCTAACTAACTTCTGCTCGTGCAGAGGCTTACCTATTTTTTGACGCGACATTTCTTTGGAGGCTAAAACAGGGAGATGAGACATTCGCTTTCGCGAATTACGAGTACCGAATATCGACCCTCAAGTACACACTTTTTACAAGTGCATATATTTTTATATCGCGACTTTCATTCTTACACTCATTATATATTAAAGAACATATGCTGAATAACATAAGCGTAATATAATAATTATATAAATATAGTCTTCCTTACAATATACAATATTATGGTAATACAAATGATGTGATTATTAATATATTAATTATTTTTTTAATTATATGTAATTATTTAAACATAACTAATTTTTTAGATGATATATCCGATTTTTATTTAATTCATTAACTATCTTCGTCGCAAAATAAGCAATTTCTTTCTCGTGCTTAAAATAATACCAATATATTTACCAAAAATTAAATTAATAAAATAAATTATCATATAGTCACAACAGAAAATTAATATGTAAGAACATATTTAAAAAAAAAAACATACAGCTCGAATCTCGATTGTGCGAATTAAGGGGGTTCTACAGGTACTCTCTAGTCAGTTGAGAGATGAAGAGAAAATCTTCAAATTCATCGATTCTAAGTATTCATAAAATATTTTCGTGAATTTTGATGACGTTAGAGCTTATATCATACCCATATTAGTCGAAGCGAGGAATAATTAAAAATATCGTGTAAGTGCTCCTTTGACTCTGGCGGCTTATAATGGAAGAAAATGTGGTAACGTCGCGAACTTGACAGTTCTGCTCATATGACCGTGGTTATTTCACAATTTCACATAATTCTAGAGCGAGTACTTCTCCGTAAGCGCTCGTAAACGTTAGGTGCTTAAGTTTGAGGTGCTGTCATACTGTGGTGCTGTACTGGCTGTACACTTTTCGCGCGGGTGCAGTCGCTGCGACATTGCCAAATCTCCCTTGTTATTCGAAGCACGCTACGTGAACTGTGATATGGCCTGTTTCAATAGCCAATATCACAAAATTTTACGCGATAACCCTTGTTTTTCTCGATATTTCTGAAAAGCTTAGATTAAGATCTATAAGAGCTCCGTTTTTTGAATCTCTGGTAGGTCGCCTTTAT